TTACATTTATAATTTGTTCATTTTGTATGGATATGGGTATCTTTTATACTTTAATTTAATAATATTTTTTTGTTGATAAAAAAAATTGGTATGTACAGTACTTGGTAATAAATAAGTTATGGATTTTTTATTTTTTTTTTGGTGTTTAGGAAAGAAGAAAGATTAATTGATAAGATGATGTTGAGTGGTGGTAGAGATAGAGAAAAGGAACAAATGGGTTCCTTCGATAGAGATGACAGGAGATGAAATTGGCATGCACAACATGTGCTCACAATTTGCACCTGTCTTCTAACCTCATTTTGCATTAGGGGAAAATTGTTTTCCTAGGGTAGAGGTCTTGTAGCACTTAGCATGTCACCTTATTGTCACAATCCCATTCTCACCATAATGTAGGCTACCTACCATTGCCTATTCACTAAACTGTTTTACTAAATAGGTTTTTGTATAAAATGATCCACTTCAATCCAATAACATAAATTTTAAGTTCAGATTTTTCACCTTTTATGAATTACATATTCGAGTCGCATGGGTAATATATATATTTAATAAACTGAATACCAGCAAAATGTTAAGATTATCAACATGTGTATCCCCAGGCAGTCCAATAATTAGCGTCCCAACCTCTTGGTTGAAGGCGCGCCGGTTTAATCTATAGTTTTTTTAATTAATTATTGAAGATTACAAGAGTTTGACAATGACCTAAATGTTCTATTAATAATCTTTCTCCATACGAAGCAAAAGAAACTTGCTCGAATGACAAACATGAAAATAAGGTAGATAAAGTGATAGGAAACATTTATTATTTTTTACTTAAAAAAAAAAAAAGTGATTGCCAGAGTTAGTGGTTTTTTTTTTTTTTTTTTTTTTTTGGGGGTTACTAGAAAATAGTGCTGTCGTTTTCTTTTGAAGGCAAAATTCAAAGCTCTGCTTTACAGCCAGCAGTACGTCGTCTTGGCCTTATCTTTAGAAGGTTGTTATGCACACAAATACAAGCAATCCAGAAACTGAGATGCTTGGGATATTCCAAGCCAAGTATTAGATACGTTCCACTAAATTTGCAACGACTAAAATAGTCTTAGATTGAGATCTCATTATTTGTCATTTTCTATTTTTTTTTTCTTCCATTTTATATTAAACTCGAACCCCAATATTGAATTTTGAATATCATCTTTCGTAGAATTGTTGTTTAAATACGTAAAGATTTAGCATTTGATCTTTTGAGTGTAGTAACATTAGTTTTATTAAAAAAATGTATTTTTTTTTTTGGGTCTAGGTTCAATTTTGTCTTTTTGTAAACATGTTAATAAAAAAACGTAAAGATCTGTAGAGAAATATTAAATTATGAATGAATTTTATAAAAATTAGTAAATTTAAAATTTTAATGGCAAAAATTTAACTTCTAAAGTTATAAATTTATAATTTTAACTTTACCAAAAGCTACTATTGATACAATTTTGACTTTTATGAAAGAGAGAAAGCCCTTTTAGAAATTGAACGGAATAAGTTCTTAAAATTAGGTCTTTAGTCTTTACCTATTCAATTGGTTGAGAAATATTTGTAAAAGAAGGAAGAATAAGAACATAAAATAAATGGGCCATTCGACCTTTGTGCCATACACAAGGACATAGTCGCACAGGATGGCGTGAATGGGCCAATTCTGCATTATTTTGTTGGAAAGATAAGCTTAAAATATACTGAAACTATTAATTAATGCAACTAAATACCAGTTCACATACTTCCTTTGAAGTGACCAAGAACAATACCACGTGTCTTTTATTTTGTGATTAATTTGCTAATTGCTATATTAATTACTTTTAATTAATTAGTGTAATAGTTTCATATTGTTCAACATAACATAAGATACATATTCTTTTTGGTTTTAGTTGATAGGATGTTCTTAAGTCAATTTATACATATCTTGACATTAATTTCTCTTGGTCTGATAAAAAGATACGTCACGTAACATAAGAAATAAATTATCATCAATTTATTTAAATTGGCAAAAAAAAAATCTGATTTATTTAAAATTATCAGATGGTATATGCAACTCATTCTTTTCTTTTTCCCTTTTTTTTTTAAGGAGAAAAGGGATAAGTTTTTGTTGACATCATTCATTAATAATAATTTTTTTAGTATATTTGATGATATGTTATACAAAAAGAAATAACTCTTTTTTTTTTTCCCAAATTCTTTCTTACTAAACTCAAAATTCAAATTTAAAATCTGTAATTCTTAACTAATTGAGTTATTTTATGGGAAGCATAATAAATCTTCATAATAAGAGTATCAAATGAACAAATATGTATTAATTCTTGTATCTCACTGGAATGAAGGGCTAATGAAAGTTTTATTGCATTTCATATTATAAATTCTTATTACTACACTTAATGAACTTGGTTAACTTAATAAATCATTTTCTATGAAGTAAATGCTGGGTAATGCATACATATTAATTGGCTATATGTCCTTTTTGGAAGGGGAGGGATGATATTGAAACATCGGAGTATGGTTTGTTTGGGAAATTAAATGCCACCGGCGTGCGTTATCTCTAACATTATAAATTAAGGTTAGGTTAGGTGACGGCTTGAACTCCCAATGTATTGGTGATCGATCATCAACGGCATTTATTAAGTAGATAGTTTAATCAAGGAGTGTTTATATTTTAGAAACAAATACTCTGGCTTCCTGTTTTGCAGCATCTACCCAAAATCAGTTTGCTTCCGGGGTAGTGTATATTGCCAACTTTTTATTTGTTATTTAGCGTATATATTCAACCAAGTGGCCAACCTTTTCATTAAATCAGCCAACGACCTTTATTAATTGTTGACCAATTGAATGTCTAGATCTTGAATTATATAATAAGAGATAATTTTTTTTTCCTTTCATTTTTTAACCTAACTCACTCATGTGCCATGCAATTTGAATTTAAAATCTCATATTTTTATGAAAAAAGATTATCACTAGGATATTTAAATCATTATTTATAATTAATGGTTACTTGGTATAATAGTTTAAAATTAGTGCTTAATATGGTTTCATCTAATCCAATAAATAAGAGTATTTGAATCAAACAACAATTTCAAAGAGTTATACTCCAAATAATAATAATAACAATAATAATAATAAGGGGTTACGGATTTTTAGAATTGCCTAACAATCTTGAAAATCATTTTTTTGTAATAATAATAAAATGAATTAAATAGCCAATGAGACTTTAAAGTAAATTGGTTCAATAGATTTTACTTTACAAATAAGAGGGTTTCTACATGTTATTGTAAATTTGTAAGAGGTTAACATGCATTACACAACATTTCAAAATGTAAATTTCTTTAAAAACATTTATGAGAATTCAATATGTGACATAAGATTATAAGTGAATCAATTTGATACGTTAAACTAAAATTTTTTCTTATCCATGATTCAATGGATTTTGGATTCAACACGGCATTTTGGAATTGAAAAACCAAATGTGAACCAATTCCATCACGTTGACATGGTGAGAAAAATAGTAGCATCCACCATCTCACGCATCAATTATATATCCAACCAACCAACCAACATTACTCAATGACATAGCCCTTTATATTTCCATTTTTCTTTCATTTTTTCTTAAAAAAATTATTTAAAAACGTTTGGAATTTCTGTTTTTGCACAAATCTCAGCCCTCGAATTCCTATGTCTCAATAGAAATGAGTTTATTCATTGAAACCATATGAAACAAACAAACGTGGAAGTTTACAAGACTTTGCCTTCCTTGATTGGACTCTTTGCCTTAACTTTCTTTTTTTTCCATGTTTTGGGTGTTGGGTGTTACTGCTTGTTAGTGTGCTCTTTGCTCTTTGACAAAAGCACACTATAGGGGACCAAACTATTCCCTTCACAAACAGCTGTTGCACTACACTCTATATTCATGCACCATTGTTCAAAAGAAAAGAAAGAAGAAATTCTAGTGTTTTGACTAGTTGAGTCGATAAAGTCTTATATCAAATTTTATTTTTATTAAAAAGGGTGTGGAAATTGAAGAAAGGAAAATAATCCTAACAAGGTAGACTAACTTGCATAAGTTGGTCTAGTTGGATAACAACTATTTCTCTTTTTGCACGCGGCTCTCAATCTAAGTGGCTTCAAAGTACACCCTCCGGGTCAGTGAACCATGTTCTATCCCCCACCTCATACAATTTTAACCTGTTGGTTAAAACAAAAACTATGTTTTCGAGTATACGAAAATAAGAAGCAATAAGGAAAAGGAATTCCAATGGACGGTCTCTCCCTTCCCTTGATTTATGATCTATTTTCCGTCCGGAAAGGCCCAAGATGATTAAACCGAAGAAAGATGAAAGAATTTAAGGACCTAGAATAGAGCCCAACAAGACCTCAGCCCAAAGTTATATATTCTAAACTCAAGATCAAAATGGCTAAATTTACTGATTTAGTGTTGGTCAATTAGCCTTCTTAGCCATATCAACGACCCTATGTTTGGATTGAGGGACTTAAAGGGAAAAGAGATCGGAAGAGAGGGGAGTAAAGGCGGATGAATGGATATAATTTCTTTCATCCATTTTTTTTTAAATTTTTTTATTTTTTTTATTTAGATAAATAACTAACTTAAAAGTAATAAAGTAAAGAGAATTTTTTCTCTCTTCTCCCTTTCAATTTTTTTAATGACTAAATAAAATTTTTTTTCCCTCTCTCTTTTGTTCCTCCCAACCCAAACATACTATAAGAATTTGGTCTAATAAGCATCTACTAACTTAAAATTCTTGAGTTGGAATCAAAGTCAAAGATTTAACTTTCTACAACGCAAAGCAAATTAAGTTTGGATATTCCAAAAATATTAACTATTTGTCTTTTATCCTCGTTGATATTGAAAGTTCTTTTTTTTTTTTTTCCCTAAGTCTGTCAAAAAAAAAAAAATTGTATCAAAATGGTTTGAATGTTAAAGAGGGGATTATAGTTGGGTGCTGACTGCTTATGTTGCTGGGTTCATGCCTAATCTGGTTTTGAGTTCAACTTCTTTGTTGACAATGCAATTTCCAAAAGCCAATAGCTATGTACAACACCAATGGCTTACAACAACTCTCCAAAACTCAGTTCATCAGCAAAATGAATTGCACCCTATTAACAAAACTAATTTCAATACCCTAAGTGATGACTGTATTATCTTTCAAATGGAAAGAAAAATTAGAAGAATAACATACAATTGAGCAAAGCATATAGATGCAGATCACCCAGCAAGGCAGCCCATCGACTTTTCCGCTAAGAAAAGTACAGTAACTACTGTTTCTGAGTTATGGTTTTCTGAGGTTTTAAGCTTTTCATAGAAAGGCCATCCTTCCCTTCTGTTTTAGATCTTCTGTTCTTTGCTTGCTTATATTCTATCTATTTGTGTTTGTTAAGAGTGCAGTTACCTCATCATCATTGAAGGCCGATGCTGATGCAAGCTGCAGAACAGTGTGACCTCCTGCATCAACAGCTTGTGTATCTGCTCCTCTGCAATGAACGGAATGTAAGTTTTCTTTCACGGCATTTTAAAAAAAAATATGGCTAAATGACAGGTTAGAAGACTATGAAGCTGAGGGAGTGAAACAAGGTTCTTCGCTTCCTCTGATGAAGCGTACAACATGGAACCTAGCGAGAAGCTCACAGACTAAAATGAATAATGCCAGGAAGTTTAATGCAGCTGTGGGCAATGATTTTAGTAGATATTTTATGACATAGTTAATAGTAGCTAGAAGCCAAGAAAGATTCTACTTTATTGATTGATCATGAACAGATGTGAATGAACCAGGGAATAACTATGCCAATAATCTCTCCAGTAACTATTGGAATGAACTTTTATGTTTAATATATATTCCAAAAATTTCATAAATGATGAATGGAATCTCATTTCATGATGCGGGAAAGCAAGAGTCCTTTTATTTGGTCATTTAAAAGCAAGAACACTGGAAATGGGAATTTGATTATAAAAAAAAATGCAGTTATCAGTTTTAAAGAGTCATTTTGTCAGGAAGGAATGATCCAATTCAACAGGATGGGAATAGGAAAATGATAAATCACCTTGAAATTAGCAATTTTGCGATTGAAGGTTTTCTGCTGAGAATGCAATAATGAAGGGGTGTCCGGCCTCCTGAATCACATGCATTTATGTTTGCACCATAATGAAGGAGTAGCTCTACCATGGCAATGTCTGCAGTTAGGCAGGCAAGATGAAGTAGAGAACAGCAATCAGAACAATCCAATATGAGCTGCTCCTCACTGTTCTTTGTTGAGTTCTCACAGCTTGAGGCCTTTTCCAGAGAACCTGAAAAGCAATCCAAATATTGATCAAGAGTTTCATTCTTTTTCAAGTTAAACACTCCAGCCGGAGAAAAGGGTGTACAACATGATGCAGGCCCATGGATGGCATTGACATCTGCTCTGGAGCAAACAATATGGCGGTAAACAGCCTTCTTGTCATTAGCACTGACACTTTCCCACATCTCTCGTGCCACTGTAAGGATATGCTGATTGTATTTCATCTTGCAAACAAAAGCTTTTTCTGCATACTGCATTAAGTAGAAACCATCAATCATTTAAGGTCTTCTACATTAAATAGAATTTTTTTTTTTTTACAGTCTGCCCTGCATGAAAAAATATATACCAGTTGTGGTTGAGAAAAGACAAAAATACCCTTAATGAATTAGGGATGCATGATTATTCATTAATGGTATTTTTGTCTTTTCCTATCCTGGACTACTGTGAAACTTCAATTTCAAAAAAAAAAAAAAAAAAAAAAAATCCCACTCAAGGTCCACATGAAAAATCTAATAGGATTGAGGATATAACAACAGAAATACCAAGCACCCTATAAGAACAATGCATAAGCCAATCTCCTGACAGTTCATACAGGAGTTATGGATCATATTATAGGAGATAAAATAATTGTCCCCAGGAGAATAGGTGGAGAGCAGAAATAATGCAATTTAATCTTCCTTTCTCTATCCACTACCTTGCATGTCATCAGTAATCTCTAAATTATAGTCTATTAAGTAACTAGTTTACCTAACTTTGAAACACATTACTCTATATAATAAATGTGGACAATCACATTCCAATTTGACCAATGAGAGGAAGTATGAGTAATGCGGTCTAAAGTACTCAGTCAATTCAATTGTTATTTTGAGTATAGTTCAGCTAATAAGATTAGGATTTTATCTTATGATATGTGCATGTGTTTATGTTCAGGGGTAGAATTGTGAAGCAATTTCTTTGATTTAGAGTTATTTATGTAAAATTTGGTTTACGTTATTCTAGGAGTCTTAAGGAGTTAAGGTTTTATTAGGTTCAAAAATGAAAGAGAGTAATATATCAAGAGCAAGAAACTAAATTATATGGAGGTATACCTTGGCGTGAATGAACAACTCCCTTACTGAAAGAGGATCATTGTGCCTAGGTTTCATTGTAAGGAGTTGTTTGTGTCTCTCAGATTTGGAAGAACTACAAAACAAGAACGATGAACTTATCAGCATGGAAACAGTTTGGCAATCAGATCAAGCATGCATCACTTACCCCCCTGTCACGTTGTTAGTTGAAAAAGAACATCCTGAGTGCAACAACTCCTCCCAGATTGAGTTTGCGTAGGTGTTGCCCAAAGATTGAAACAAAGCTAAGACTGATGGTTCCCATGCTTTTACATCAAGTGTCAGTGATCTTACCTGCATATATGTACAAAATATGAAATGGGAGCAAGCATACAAACGTTAATCTACTTGCTTAATACAGTAGTACAAATGAAGCATGCAAATGAAGGTGACATAGCAAGCATAGATGACAAACCTTTGATATATGTACACCAAGATTACGATGAATTCCAGAGCATTCAATGCAAACAAGTACACCAAGGTTTAAGGATGCCCAGTCTGGTTCTGGTGCGTCACAGTCAGCACATTTATCATTCCCAGGTACCCTTGTCAAAATGTCAATCGTTTTTTTGCTCTTTGCACCAAATTCTTGGTTGTGTAAACTTCTAGAAGTGTCTAAGTGGTTTCCAGAGCCAAAATTCTTAAATCTCTGTTCCCCTACTGCTGACTGATAAGCATCAGAGGAATCTACTAAAGAGCTGCTGTCACTGGCAGAACAATTACCACCACTTCCCTTAGGGCTAGCTGAGACACACTGGCATTCACATTTTATGTTCATTTACATGGCTAAAACAGAAATAAAGAATAAAAGGCTACAAAGTAAAATAACTATGAATTTTATGTTCTTTTGGGGAGAAAAGGCCCCATTATATGCATTTTGTCCTCCTTATTTCTTTGAAAGAGAATTGGTGATTACCCCTTCGGTTGTCTGGATACTTAATAGTGAAGTGATTACTCCATTTATTTTCTCAATCCAATCCATCTGGTCTAGTGCATTCTCTGCCTGCAAGGCCAAATAGACAAAAGCAGGAATCTAGAGCTAAACATTCAAGCATGTCCAAACTTAATAATAAAGGAACATCTGTGACAGGTAAAATAAGGCTAGTGTCAAAAAAGAAAAAATGCATTGTTTATTCACAGTGAATTTATAGAATACCTGTAATGTGTAGATTTTTGTTGGTGATATAATTCTGAAACAGAACCTTAAATCTGATTGATCTGCATCAACCTTAATTGTTGATGTCAACAAGTTTACAGTGTGGCGTGCAACAGATTTTTCATCTTGTGCACTGCCAAGGTAATGAGAAGAAAGCCATCGCCCTAGCAGCCCAGTACCATTTTCAGAGTTGCTACTCCTTTGTTTAGGAGATTGATTGCCAGTTGTCTGAATCAGTAGGCTCAACATTTAGGAAGCAACAGAGAAAGAAGAATGAGACAGCATTATGCCTCAAAGTATAAGAAGCTATCTTCCTTTCAGAGACTTACAGAAGACCAAGGCAATGGTTTGCGATAGTAATACAGCATTCCTCGACTATCAAGAACAAAAAACCTTCTCTTCCAGTCAGCCCTCAAATTTGATGAACGTTTTGATAGATATCCTTGTCGAATTGTTTGAACCTGAAAACCATTGTCTTAGAAGTAATGATGTAAAAGGTCCTTAAGAAAGATTTTTTAAAAGAAATCAAAGATTGGTTATTTAAGGAAATTGGATAAAAACTGGATATGAAGTCAGAATATACCTTTCCATTTGCAGCGGATTCCATAACTGCCTCAATCACTTTCTGTGAACTCCTGGGGAATGGTCTGATACAATCTACTGCCTGGGAATGAAGAGACCCATTTAAACACTGCCTATTATCTTGATCAATCTGCCTAATATACTCCTGCATCCTTTCATTAAGAGATGCTTGTTCATAGTTGGAACATTCCTTTGACTGTTGAGTATAGGCCAACACCTGAGATCCAGCAGTCATCCAATTTAGAGAAGTGAAGTTCTTGGATGGAAGGCATAAAATTAACTGAGAACCTTGAACACAACAGAATACAGAAGAAGATCCACATGAGCAGTAAAGAAAAGAAAATCAAGGAGAAAGCACAAAAAGAGCTGGCAGAAATGGGATCCTTTGGAACAAAAGAGCAGGAAGTTACAAACTAATAAAGTCAAAGGGTCACAGACAAATGAAAAAGGTCAATAGGATTCCTGGAGTGGCATACTCTCATTTCAGGTTAAATTTCTCTTCTAATGGTAGAGATAGAATTTCTCATGAGTTTTTGGAACAACCAATTAGCAACCAAAGGAGCAAAGGCTGGTCACTTCCATCAACTTTGCTTAACCAGAAAATCACTCTGTTTAAACTTCTCAGGAAGAAAACAATACACAGCATAACCCCAGAGACTGATTTAAGCAAGGGCCATTTGAAAATCAATGAAATAGTTTTAAACATTGCTTAACAATATTGTGGACTGGATTTGTTGACTCTTGTGGTGAGGTAGATGAGAATAGAATCTTACTTAGCTGTGTATATCATCCTTTTTAAGGATGAAACCAAATCTGTCCATTACGTGTAGCTAGCTAACAGTGAGAAGATTAATATTAGGGAGAAGAGGTCATGTAGTTTAATCTTTACAAATTTTTATGTTGATTAATTTAGGAATTAAAGTAACTTTCCTATGAACTTAGCAATTAAAATTACAATAAAAAACCTGGTAAATAAAAGGTTCCATCTGATGCAATAGCTCGTATCCCTGAAAAAAACAAAGATATTAGTGAGAACATGTTGAATATATCAAAAAGATCACATCTAGAGAAAACAAACTAGTTTTCATCACATTTACATGCCTGCTTAAAGAATTGAAGATGAGCACTCATTGTTCCACTAACAGCCTCTAGAAACGCAAACCTTGTTTTGGCCTCAATGTTAGAGAGAGCACTAACCTAGATATAAACAAACATGTTTCTGATTTATAGGCTTCAAGTTGATAAGTTGCGTACTTATTTGAATACTCAGTTGTTACTGAAAACTAGCTTACAAGATTGAAGCGAGCTTGCTCAAATGAGGATCTTGCAGCATGCATTTCCTGGAATATTTCTCTACCAAATTAGATTTTGAAAGGTAAATATGTCACCCGTAACAAACTATTTTATCAATCTATGTACCAAAATGGACAAATTTTGAATTTGAGCTATCATAATATTGCAGTACCTCTTCTATGGCAGTAGCTATATCAGTTCTGGTGCTTTTCCTTAAGGACAGAAACTTCTCTCGTGCCTGTTTCATAAAAGCCATGAAATAGTTGCATGAGATTCCATGAGAATTCTGATACAGAAAACATTTAGGATGATGTCAAGAATCTTGAAGTATACTAATAGTTAGGAAGATGCTGTCACATTTCGAGAGGACTCCGACCCTGCACAAAAATCCTTTTTTTTTTTCTTTTATGTTCCCCAGTACGTCTAGAATCTAGCATAGAAATATAATATAATCAAGCCCTGTTTTTTTATAACTTCCTTTCCCATTTTCTTTTGGTTTTCAAGCAGGGATTCCTAATCTGTAAATGCGTCATTATATACAGAAAGTGACATGCACTGAGAAAATCTTGAAAATATTGTTTAAATGCACAAACCAATCAAATTTGCATTGTCATTCAAAGAAAAGATCTGTAGATTTTTATAACCATTTCTAATCAATAAATTCCAATTTACTAAATAAAATCAAAATGATACAAAATGATTTAAAGGCCAATCCCATCAGCAGAGCAGGACTCCTGCAATGAAAGAATGAAAATCAGGAAGAAGAAGAGCACTTAAATAGTTGCGTTCCAAACTTACCTGATCATAGATAAGGGAGGTCTTGTCAAAACGTTTTCGAGCTTCCTGATCCAATCATGTGGCAGTGGATGAAACAAAAACATGTTATTGAGCCAACCATAAATAATTTAAACCAAATGGTTCAAATCTAATAAGGGACCCCAGGCCACTTTAAGAAAGATTCTAACATATGATTCTTTGTTCAATTCGGTGGTCAACCTTGAATTTAGTAATTTCTACTTCATTAAATTGAGAACATCTTTTAACATGATAATCATAAAACAAGGTATCTTTAGGAAACTTGATAGTAAAACCATAATCCAAATAAGGCAATTATTAGAAATAAATATAAACGAGAAAGTCACTACTCCAGGCTATATATAAATTTGACATAAAAAAGAGCAGTGCATAAATGTAGTAATTTGGTCTGTGAAACTTCTTAACAAAATGACTTCACAACTGCATATTTGGTTTAAGGGAAAGACAGCTCTACTAGAACAAAAATTAAGATGAAACTACGACATAGACCGCCATTTGAGGATAGATTCCCTAATCAGATGAATATTTATTATCTTCTACATGGTATTGTTGGGGAACCCTCTTGTGAGTGTTGGATGGTTAAAAACATTACAAAGTGTCCACTGTCAACAAATAATTTTACAACTCTGTAGCTATATATCACGAAGCAATGATTCACGAAGGAAGCTTTTGAGTTTTTTTTTTTTATTAAACTTAAGATATATCAGTTTTCTTTTTCTTCTTGAGTGAAACTAGTCAGTCAAATAATATAAGCAATCATCAATTTCTTCCAGTGTCATATCAATAAAGAACTCAGCATCGAAGGAGATGCTGAATTGATAGCCTACCGACATGAGGCAGACTTTTAAGAGACTGATTTTAAGAAAATTTCCCATAATATGTGGAATGTGAGACATCAATGGCACAGTGATGTTCTTAAAATATTTGCTAGGTGACTACTCTAACAAGGGTAAGGAGAAATAGAAGACAATAAAAAAAGACAATAGAATCGCTCCCCTATGCTCAGAGAACTAGGTCAATTCAAAGATAATGAGGCAACGTGAGGCTTGATATATTAGCAACAGCCTGAAGTTAGTAGCCCTCATTGAGATGAGCCTTGCTTATCGTACTGATCTTCAGTAAATATTAAAGAAAGAGGCCATTGGGACTAAAAGAAGAGGAAGGATATTTGATAACTACAGTTTTCATTTTTCCCCAGAGTTTAGATAATAAAGTTGTAAATAAAGTGAGATCAAATTTACATGCATATGTATCCTTCACAGTTTCCCATTAATAAGAAGAAACAATTGATTGTTAAAGAATGCAGAGCACCTTGACATCAAGCAGATCAGTAGAGACAAACTGCAGCAACCTATCATTTAGCATGGTCTCTACCTGAGAAAGCCAATTGAACATATAAGAACAGGATATCAGTTAATATTTTTACCACAGATCATAAAATGTTTCATGAAGAAAATGAATTATGGATAATTTCCACAGTTATACATCATGATGAAATTCCTTCAATTATAAATTATGATACCAAGTTTTTCATACAGGCAAATTGTATATAGGATTCTTATATTCAGGAAACTAAATCTTATATATTCTATTTCATCCCAAAAAAAAATTTATACTACATCTAATTTCTTCTAAACCGATTCTAGGAATTAAATTTCTATATAGCGAATTAGATGTGAAATTTAATAGATTTCCTATTGATTTAATTATAATAATATTGGAAAATTTATGACTAGAACAACCTGAGGACCAGAAACAAATTACAATGACATAAAATATAGAACCCAATCAGGCAGAGATAAGAAAACAACAGATATCTACCTTTTTTTTTTGCAATATCTATAATAAAATTACAATTGAAGCAACAAAACCAGATAACATGATGCTAAATTATATGATCTCTGGACTTGAAAGATCCATCAATATTAAGTTCTTCAAAAATTTACATAAAGAAATAAGGACAAGGATAAGGAAAAGGTCAAGTTCTCTAAAACTGCAAGATGTTAGACCGAATAAGACATGAAATTTATTGTTTTTCTTTTGTTTAGGAAAAGGGACATTAATACCAAAAAGGAACCAAATTAAGAAAGCAGAAAGCAAAAAAATTCAAAAATTTATACTGTCCACCTAGTTTAGGGGCACATAAAAGATCAAGTAACTCTTATTAGATTATCCATCCACATATAGAACATTTAAGGACAAAAAGCAAGCACAAAAGTGGTCATTTTAGCTTGACTTGCTTGAAATTGGTCATTGAAGTTTGATTCAGGGTTCAGCTCAGGCTTTGGTAATTAGTTCATCCTAGACCAAGTTGCAGTAAGAAAACTACAATTAATTAGATTTAACTTAGCTAGAAATCAGATCACACGCATTATTAAGCAAAGGTTTGTGAAACAATCAAGGAAACTTCATCTAGACATGAAAACTATAGTGTGAAAAGAAAAGGCCTACAATAGAAGAAATCCTTCCTGTATGGCAAGCTATCATGATTAATTAGGTGCATTGAGTGGAAATTTAAAGAACAGCAGAAAATAAGGCAAGAGCTCATAAAAATGATAATTAGCATCAGCAATTCAGCATCACTTTGAAAAAATTGTGATCACTAACTATGGCTAGTCCACATCTAATTCATGGTTACCAGCACAAAAGCAGGGTAGGATGTTTTATAAAGACGACAAGGTTTGGTACCTGAGACCGAAGCACTTCCTTGTATGTCCCAATTTCTCTCAAAGCAATTGTGAATTTGGTCATGACAGGGCCTGTAAAGAATACATAGGTTTATCTGTAATGATTGCAGTAAACATATGAGCTATTTCTTATATTCTTTGGAAACCACAACTAATTTCTGATGGTTTATAAAACCAACTTAGTCTTTGATTCATAAAAGAAGATGTCTTCAAAATTTAACACTGATTTCTCTCAAGGTACATGGTTATTGTTAAATTAACATTGACCATATTCTCAAAAGAAGACAATAAAAAAATTGGAGGCGCCTAAGACATGACATAAATAATAAATTATGGGGTAAACTGCATGGTAGTCCTCATAATTTCACTGATTCTCTTTTAATTATCTAAAGCTTCAATTTGAAAAATTAATGCCACTGTTAGATGCTTCAACCAGGCACTTAATCCCAAAGTAAATAGTCAGCATAACCTATTCATCATTCATCCATTTATCAGCATTACAAGACATGTTGGTCTACAAGAAGAAAACCTTTAGGCACTTTACGTTTCTATGGCAATAAAGGACAGAACACGGAGGGGTTGTTTAAGAAAGGATTAAAAGTAATTAAGAATTGAGAGAGAAAAATCCATGCTAATACCCTGCAACTATTCAGTGAGTAAAATCTTGACAGTTGCAGGCCACAAACAGGGCCCAAAAGTATTTTCACAGTAATTCCAACTAGGGGGGGTAATTAGAATGTCTACCTCCAAAAGCAACACAAATAGGATCATTATGCCCCCCTCCAAAAGTCTCAAGTGCATTTACAAAAGCAATGTCACCATCATATCCTTCTCCAAGCCCTTCCCTGATAATAAAAAGTAGATGACTTAAAACATCCATTAAGGCATATGAGGAAACTAACATTAGTCTGCTAGGATAATGATAAGGAAGTAAGATGTGAATTTTCGTATTTGAATGTTTGAGAAATTACCACGTGCTCTACAAGCACAAAAACATTGACATGATCAGTCAAAAGTTTAAGCTCAAGTTGTACAATAGTGGTGGCTTGGTCATCATATACCAATTACAAGTTCTATATCTTTCAAATGTAGGATGAGGAGTCAGACAGACAATCTTCTGTTATGCTTTATAAAGTATACAGGACTAAGCCATTATAAGGAGATTATAGTAGTTTTCTGGCTAAAATAATATAAGTAATGCAGGTCCTTGAAAGTAGATTCATAATGTTTTATTATTTTTTACTCTTGTGATTGAAAGTTTACTCAACAGATGTCGGGGCTGTCCTGATAGTTATCCTGCATGCAACTTCAAAACATAAATTGTTAGATGGGTAACATGTAATGGATTTAAGTCACTTTGTTACTTGAGAATTTTCAATGAATGCATATTAGAAGAATATAAGAAAGAAATTGCTTGTTTTGAGGATCAACAACTCCTCCCTTTGTTTTAGAGGAGGAGGAGGTCAAGGAATTTGACTAATTATGCATCAACAGCTTAATGTTAAAAAAATTGATGTCACAAATGAAATAGATTATTTTCTAATGATAGATATTCTCTTTCAAGGAAAGCATGGAAATGAGATAAAGAATTAGCTGTACGTGTATTTTCGACATCCTTTGTAAAACTTTAAACATCTCCCCCTCAATGATTCAGCATATTCCTCCAAGCACTGCATCTGTTTCACAAAAGAGTACACTAACCATTTTCAACAACGAAGACAAACTGAACACACACATACACAACAAATTTCACATGATAATTGATTTATTCATAAATTCCTAAATCAGAGAGCTATTTCCTGGCTCATGGTGGGTTCAGAGGTTGGAGAAGCCATGTTTTGAAGCTTTTGGGAGAACCCGCAGAGAGGTCTGAGCTCTCACCTAGTCACCTTCCCTCTCTCTCACACTCAAGAAATGAACAATAGGTTTGAGCAAATGGAATCATGGCAAAATAAAAGGGCAGTTATGGGAGCTTACTCATAGACAGAGAAGGCAAAATCTCAATGGAAGATGAGGTTTGAACTTTGAACAGAAAGAAAAGGAGATCATAGGCTTAGATTTGTTTAGGAACTTGGTGGAGGTGGAATAAGAATGACATCCTTAACTGTTGACAAGGCAAAACTGTCTTCTGGGAATGCAAATATTTATACCATAGTGGAATGGAAGGGTAACAATGTGATATATATATATATATATGTATATTTAAAGTACATGTAAGTGCTCAATCTACAACGTTGTCATATTATCATCAGAATCAAGAGACTGACAGAAAAACAATTACAAATGTTCCACTTTTGTCATTGCCCATGTCAAACATCTTGAGTTGAACATGATCCATGTAAGGACAATCCATAGAAAAATTTCATATTACTATCCACCTTTTTGTTGTTGTGAATGACAAACGTTTTTGCCACTCTCACATGAAGCAGGAAAAATGTATATTTTACTATTCCCATGAAGGAAAATCTATCCACCTTTTATCTTCAAGCATCTTAAAATAAAAATTTCATTTTAAGGGGAATTTTCCCTTCCCTCCCAGCTCCCATATGTAAATGATCCATGACCCAGTTCCAACACCCCAACCCCCCAAACATACAAAGTTAACAGCATGTATCTTGGGTGGTTAATGCACAGAATTGGCGTTGAAATGAGCAATTCTTAATTTCAGGAACATTAATTTCAACAAAAATCTAGCTTGTGTAGCATAAAAGACAGACATTTTGCCCCAAAATAATAACCAAGGCTACCGAGCCACATTCTAAGTGAACTTTACCAAAAAAATGAACGTAATCATAAGGTAAACGTAAAGCATTTTCAAATTCGAGAAAGAAAAAGGTGGGTGGAACCTGCTGGCGGAACATCGGCGAATCGTCGAGTAAAGCGAACTGCATTTTGAAGGAACTCAGAAATTCTCCTTCTCTCCTTCTTGGAAGCGAAACTGATTTTGGGTTTTGAGGAGAGAAAGAAAGGTGCGTAATTGAAGAATGATTTTTGAAAAAGGATTTGGCTTTGTTGAAAACTTTCCCCGCGAACTTTTATGGCTGTCACTAAATAAAAAAACAAACCTCCATATCCTACCCGCCTTTTTTCTCTCTCTAGAAAATCGCTTCCCCCCTTTTTCTCTCTCAAACATTCTGCAGCCATCTGTTTTTCATTGTTTTCCCCTTATTTTTCTCTTGGGTTTTTCTTAATAAATTTGTATTAAAAAATAAAAATTAATCGTCAATTTACAGAAACTTATCTTAAATTCATTCACATATGAAACAACAGTGTTAAAATTAATGTTAATTTTTATAATATTTTTATATAAAAATATAGGCTTAACTTGTGGTATAATAACATATCTTAAAAATTTTTTCTCTTTAATCTCATAAATTTCAAGTATTATTAAAATTTGTAAATATATTTAAATATATATTTTCTTTTTTTGGACTAAGGGGAATTGTGGGGGATGGGGGCAGTAGTGTTTGGCCTAAAACCCGTAACTTATATGTCATATCACATTCCATGGTGAAAGTTATGGCTATTAAATGATATAGTGCTAGACATATTTAAATAATTATAAATGACAAGAGGGCTCAAAATCATATTCCTTAAATTGGTGTGCTAAAAGCATCCTTTGGCCCCATGGCAGGGAGCTTCAAAGGAAGATCAAGAGGGAGAGAAAGAGGGTTGCTTTTCCTTTTTCTTCTCAGCTTCATTTCCGTATTTACAATGGAGTTTCTGGTTTCTGGGTTTTGACGCTTTGAAAATGACAAGAGAGGGGTGAGTATGGCAGTGTTGATTCCATTTCTTAGCTCTTTTCATGTTTGGTTTGGTGTGAAAGTGACTACTGAACCTTGGTATTCCCTGTTGTTTCGATTCACAGATACGAGACAATGATTATATGTTGCTTTCCCATTTGCTGTATCACTATCACGTCTGTAGTAATTCCACAAAGGTTTGTCATTTTCCGAATAATTGTATCTTTTTGTAATTTTGCTTTATCTACATGTTGCATGAATCATTTGCTGAGAATTTGGTTTCAAACACCATTTATCTCTTTCTTTTTAGCTTGCTTGTTTGGTTTTTCTTGTATCTGATGTGTATTTTAGAATGTTTGTTTAAAGTAACATCTTCTGTAGGCAATTCAGGAGCTGAATGGGTATAATGATAGCATTGAAAAGCCTGAAATGAGTTCAGTTTCCAACATTTGTGCTGGGAGACTGAAGTAGCTCTTAACAAAGATTCTGGCACTGATCTCAAGTCTTTAGTTGATTCTTGCCTCGTGTTCATTTGACACATAAAGGAATCGAGCTGATTGCGTTACACATCATGTATTCTTTTGATATGTAATGTGGCAATAACTGTTTGTGACCCAGCCTCTCAAGATATGCATTAGCATTAGCCCATGAGGTCTAAACATGTTTATGCGTGTCAATAATTGCATATACGGTTGCTTCTTTTGAATTCTAAGTTCTAAGTGTTGAATGCTTGTCCATGAGTTGTTTAATTAATAATTGCCTCCCTCTATTAACTATATAGTCCATGAACTGAGGGTGAGGACACATTTCCTCCTACAGTTGTAGTATACAGAAGGAATGTTTGATAAATTATCAGAATGCCTTGGTTGCAGTTATTGAATCTTTAGCATGGAACAAAATATAGTTTTAGGCAAACTGAAACCAGTTTATCAATCCATAGAAAACCTTTTCCTTCATTGTTCCTATAGCAGAAGCTATGAAATTCCCCTTCTTCCGGTTCTTCCATGCTTACATCAATAACTGTTATTTCCTTTTTTGTTTTGGTGAGACTTTGTTATTGACAAACTGTTGAAGTTTTGGAAGTAATGCTTAGAGATGAATCAAAATAAAATGAAGGCTCTTCCAGAAAACTGTGCTGCTGAAATTACAATGGTCATAAAGGAATGCCATATAACTGAGAAAAAATGCGATTCGAAGCCTGGGACTTATATCCAGTAATGGATGATCAAGAATCCTTGACATTGATTCGATTTTGACTGTTTACGACTTATTGCTCTTGGTTACTAATATTGAATTCAAATTCTGAAGCTAATTGCTGCTGGTACCTACGGTTCATCATGCCCTCAGTCCCACTCTCAAGTCTCAATCTCTCGTTTCAGATCTTGTTATGAGAGGCTTGTCACCTTGTTGCAGCGCTCAAGGAATCAGTTTCCAAACTTCTCCATGCTGCACTTTTTAAGTTTCCTGAGCAAAGAGATTGTAAAATAA